GGGGGGGGGGGGGGATTGGAGTGAACGTCGTCTGTCGTTTAGTTTCAATACACAAAAGTGTGCTGGGATTTCACCCCGAACTATTAACAATTTCACCGGGGGTGGGATATAAAATACAATGTCGGGTCATTCAACAGAAAATTGTACTATTTCAAATCATTTCATTTTGAGAATATTTTTTCCGTAAAGAATATAACAAGTGGACAATTGCATTTTTGTGATTATTGAGTGTAGTTATTGTTGCTAATAAATTAACAATTTATTTCTAATGGGTTCTCTTTTCTGGAATTCTTATTTCACTACTCTCATCTTCTAAATTGTTAGAAATTTTTGCTGAGTTTTCAGTGCCAAATTCCGGAAATTTTTATCGTGTTCAAGTTCTACTGAAATTGCAGGAAATCTTGTCTTTGAAAAATCAAATCTTCCATTGATTTTCTGTTCAAATGATCTGGAAATCAATAAAATACTCGATTTTTCAGTTCAATTATTCTGTGAAAAATCTGGAAAATCAGGAAAATTCAGGGAAAAATTGAAAATTCATGTAATTTTGTTTCAGAATATTCATATTTCACCGAAAATTCAATCCAGTTGTGAAAATTCCATCTCACTCCCACTGAAAACTCATGAATTTCCGTGAATTCTACTTAAACATGAAATTTCATAACAATTTCTCCCTAAATTCGATTCAATGTCACTCTCATGAGATTTACTATAATACCTTCCATGAAATTTCAAAAAATTTCTAACAGTGTATTTTTTATATCACAGTACTATCATCAATTGAAATGTCATAAGAATTTTGCGTGTTATTCCGGTCTATCAAATAATTGTTATCAATTTTTTAAGCCCTGACTAATTCCATTTTGATGACAATTTTTTGAATAATCGTTGAAAAACAGATTTTTGGAAAAATATCAATTTTTTTAATCTGTATGAAGAGTTGAATTTTAATTGGTGTTAATAAATAGAGCTTATTTAGTTACCCTAACACAAAAAATACCAAACTCAAATGTGAGCGACTACAAAGCTTCCATTCGGAAGCAAAAACGAAACAATTTTAAGAAATGATTCTTCTGATTTGTTGTTCCCGGTAAACAATACCCTATCACGTAAATTGGTAACTGATACACTCCCACCATTTCTGCAATTATTTGTCTCTTCCTCATAACGGAGAAGAATACAATGAACCCAAGAACATAGCTATACTCACCTAGCCAAACACAACAGAAGAGAATGAAGAAAAAAGTTGATTTTCATCGCGGGTTGAAAAAAAAATAGATAGAGAATTAATCTTATTTGTTGGGGGTGAGTATAGATATCCAGTCGACGTGTACAAGTTTTTGTGTACCTTACCAGTGGCTCCCGGAAATTGAATACTCCCATTCCACTTTCGAGACGTCGCGACCAAATCGATATTCGAAACCCGTTTCCGGCCTTACGATAACGACCACTACAACGCGACGATATTCCATAACCACTGGGTATATATGTATTAAATGTACACGAAACAGACACGACTGAAATTCAAGAAGAAAATTCGTTTCACTGTTGTTATTGTTATGCTGTGGTACAAATCGATATGCAAATATAAACAAAGAAATTGCGATCGGAGGATGAGAAAAATTCATTCTACGGTGGAAATCCATCGGAACCTCTCATTTCTTATATTTTCATTTTTCATTAAAAATGATTTTCTGGTTTCTTATATTCATTGCCATAATGTATCAATCATAAGAATACACTGAGAGAAACATCGTCATAATATCGCAAAACTAATTTCTTGCGCCAAATATCTCATCTGTTGAGGATAAATTTCTTGGGATAAGTATTTCGGATAATGTGTAAGACAATGTCAGATTTCGGTGAAGTGTTCATGATTTCAATCAGAGATTTTCATATTGAATGAATAGAGAGTTTATGCAAAGGAAACCCCCAGATATTAAAAAAATATAACCGTCGCTTACGCTCAATCGCTTTGAGTTCGGAGGGAAACAATATCTTCTTTTCCTTCTGTCAAACTATTTTTGTCTTTTAAGGAATATTATCTCATTTCGAAAAAAGACATCACTTTTTCATTCAGTAATTTCCTCCTTAGCCCGAAGAGAACCGATTTCTTTTCTGAAACCTACCGTGAATTGATCAGATATGTATGCGATGTGATTTTTTGCCCAAGTAATGATTTCCGTGTTATCATGTCGATTTTTCTCGTAGTTTATAAGAAATGGGAGGACGATTGAAAAACGACCGCTGATAGCTTGTTCATGTCCCCCAGTGAGTGCAGAGAGTCTAATAAACCTGAGAAAAATTCGGGGAGAAAATATAAGAAATCACACAATCTTCAAAACCTAAAATCTACAGCCGAACTTCATTCCCCCTAATGTATTTGTTGCGGTAAAAATCCCGAAATCTGTAATTAGTCATGAGAAAAAAATATAAGAAACGAGAGGCAGTCACTAAATCAACAATAGAGGAAAAAAATCCACTGAAATAAAGTTTGAATCAATTTTTAACCGAATACAAATGTCGCCATTGTCGCTGAAAAACCAAAAAAAATAACTAATTTATAGGTGTGGAAAGAGAAAAATTGATGCTGATTTTTCACACTACGCCCCAACCGCTCATATCTGATGTTTCCTTTCTATACCGTCTGTATACAACCCATGGACTCGAGGGTAACCTCTTTCGTTCCTCTGTCAACTTGTTTCACGTTCTTTTTGTCATTCTGTCGACGGTGTTACGACTATACCCGGCTGTACGTGAAACGAATTTTTAACAAAACACGATACAGGCCATCGTTACAAGCACTGATGGTTAACTCACGAGGCATCGATTTTTGTCTGCCTCGGCGTCCTGAGTTGACCCCAACCATTCACCATACGCCAAAGTTAATACCGATGTTCAACAGTAAAAAAAAATTCACGTATAAAACAAAATGTATTTATTCGCCCAAAATATTTCATTCCCGAGCACTTCAGATATTCATCACAAGTGATTTTTTTCTCTCCATGGAAACAATCGCAATGAATTATTAACAAAATCCGAGGGATGGAGATTTCCGGCAGAAATTCTAGGAATTGGAGATGCAGAGATCACCCTGAATTCTTCATGAAGTTGAAGGGAGAAAATTGCATTTCATTTTCATAGAGTTTTGAATAACAAATTTTAACACTGAGAATGCTCAATTGATTTCAAGAGTGTATTATTCACCATTAGAAGATGAAATAATCATCAACTCATAATTTTTTGCACCGGAACTGAAAATTTATTTATGTAATTATTGAATTTTAGTTTTAGAGATAAATAAAACGTGAAAATTCTAGACAAGAGTTTTTTTATTCTCACTGTGGCTAACCACAGACCAAAAATTCAATCTCCAGCTTTCTGTGCCCGCTGTTGTCCCCTCTATTTTCGGTTTCACCTGCTGTTCTCTTTTTTTTACAGACAATAAAATAATAAAAAAGAAAAATCGGGTTGCCGTTACAAAGTTATGGACAACGAGGGTACCGTATACACTAAACTAAACCGAAAGAGCCTTGCACTTAGCATAGATATGAATTTCATGCTAGCGGTGCTCAGTGCAGTAATAACGGCGTCCCATAGTACACGTGTATTACATGCGCTAGCAATATGTAACGTAAAGAAAACATGGCATACTGAAGGAAAATTCAATTCGAAATATCGCGGTATAAAGTGGTATTAGATGAGTTTTACTTTGATTTATTGGGGATTAAACCAGATAAATGACGACCTCCCACTTTTTATATTCCATTCCAATTTTTAGGAACACTAAGAGAAGAATCGACATAATATCAACAAAATCATTACTTGAGCGAAAAACATCGCATACATATTTGATCAATTTATGGTTGGCTTCAGACAAGAAATCGGTGCTCTTCGAGCTAAGGAGGAAGTTACTGAATGAAAAGGTGATGTCTTTTTTCGAAATAAGATAATATTCCTTAAAAGACAAGAATAGTTTGACAGAATGAAAAGAAGATATTCCCGACTGGAAATTCTGTTCAGGTCTCGATCAGAAACTGATCAAGTCCGATCCGAAATTCTCATCAGGCATGTTACGCCTCCACCTTATGTTTTTCCACTAGGGTTTTTCCGCCTCCCATCATTAGGCATTAATTAAATTTTTTTTTTTTTTGAGAAAACAAAAAAGTAACTTCCTAGTCGGGAATCAAACCCGGGACCTCCCAATATCGCGTCGGGTGCTCTTACCATCTGAGCTACCAGGACACTTACGAATTTCATTCTCAAATTGACTCATACCCGAGTGGAAATTCTGTTCAGGTCTCGATCAGAAACTGATCAAGTCCGCTCCGAAATTCTGATCAGACATGTTACGCCTCCACCTTATGTTTTTCCACTAGGGTTGCTTCCCAAAGCGATTTAACGTAAGCGACGGTTATATTTTTTTAATATCTGAAGGTTTTCCTCTGCATAAACTCTCTATTCATTTAATATGAAAGATTCTGATTCATGATTCATTGAATCGAAGCATTTAATATTTTGAGTCATTTTCTCATCTTTTGACACGAAAAAACCGATTTCTTGTGGGCAGAAATTCTCACTTTATCATGAAATGTTTATATTCAATTCATGAACACTTCACCGACATCTGACATTGTCTGACACATTATCCGGAATTCTTCTCCCAAGAAATTTATTCTCAAGAGATGAGATATTTGGCGCAAGAAATTAGTTTTGTGATATCATGACGATATTCCTCTCAGTGTACAAATCCCCAATTTCCAAAAATTCTCACCAACTAATTAACCAATGTATCGCCTTTACAGATGCATCGACCAATCCAGATGAAACCAGCAGACAGCGGCCACCGCAACGGTAAGTCCAACATACCCCATGAATTATTGTTGTTTATAACTTCAAGCCTCCGCTGATGCTAAAGGGGTTTTGACTTGTTACACAAGTTCTCTCAGTTGAGTCTCAAGTTTGCTCAATCCATCAGAGCGAGATCCGTTGCTCACTCGTTCATGGTGGTTTGATCAGAAATCTTGAAACGTTGTCGAAAGCACTCGTGGAAACGTACATCTCAGCTCACAGGTTGCCGTTGATTTTGTTGAAAAGACCACTCAAATGTTAGACTCCATTCTACTTTTAATGAATGAGTTAAATTGACTGTCGTCGAGTTTTCTTCGGTTTATTCTGGATCAATGCCAAAATACTTTTCGTTTAAATGTCACGACATATGTTGAATATTGTTATTATTCGAGGGTCGAGAAGTGAATGGTAAAAGTGACATTTTAAGATATTTTTAACGAAAATAAAATTTTTTCAAATAGAGACAATTGATGGGCCAATAGTTGAGAAGAATTATATTAATTTTTTTTCAGGAAATAATTAAACGGCGCGACATATGTTGAATATTGTTATTATTCGCGGGTCGAGAGAATGGAATGGAAAAGTGACATTTTGCGATATTTTCTACGAAAACAAAAATTTTCGAAATCGTAACAATTCGGGGTAGACTTACTATACAGGGGCAGAACGGGTTATATTTTTTCAAGATTTTCTATCTCGTTAAAAGTCAGTGTTTTTTTGAGTTGAGAAGAATTGTACTATTTTTTTATTGTCGGGGGAAAATAGTTGTTTTTTGGCTTTTAAAAGGTTTGAGATGAGAAACATTATTTGGGGATTGACTATCCAAGTTCGGTGCAACTCAATCCACCTCGGGGAACATGGCCAAAGGTGTGACTAAGACAGGCCATCTAACTTGGGTTTCACCCGAAGTGATTTATTTATATCCCCCTGACATTTTGTTTACTTTGGCCTGACGTTAGCCCCTCAAGGCACTTATTCGATGCCGAATGACGGATGAACCCAGCGGCACGCTGGGGCCAGGTCTTCCAAGGCTATAATAGGCTCTCAGTGACTGACTATTAGCTGCTAACTCTTCGCATTTATTGTACGTTAGTTCAATGATGATTAATTTGATAATTTAGGAGATTGGAGATGAAGCGATTCAACAATTATTCTTTGTCGTTTTTTTTTCTAAAAAAAAGCATGGGCAATATCTCGAATCGAAAATGAGAACTTGAACATTGTGGATATCTCGAACGAATGGAGAAAGTAAGGCGGTTTTCATTGGTACAATCGTCTTGCGTCGAATTTTCATGAAGCCGGTCTAACAGACAAAAGAGAATTGAATACCATTCTATGAAACATGAATAAACGAATCATAATTGTCCGAATCATTTAGGTCAGAGCAAAATAGACTAATTCTACTTTCTTAATATTGGGTTTACCAAGGTTTTGATAGCTACACTGAGAGAAAATTCGAAAGTTCAAAAAAAATATATAGTTGAGGCTCATTTTGTAACGGATACTATAATTTTTTGTATACGGTACATAAAATTATGGTAATTTTCACAATCGTAATTGGTGAGAATCGCAAGCAGTTCCACTAATCAAAGGCCAAAAATAACCACAACTAATTTCGATGATTGGATTCACTATAGCATAATACCATAGTTGCATAGTCGTGTATACTAGGCATTGACATGTGCGAAGAGGGAAATTCAGATGGGAGGAATAATCCAACTGAATTCCCTTGTGCTCCAAAATTGTAGAAAATTTTGCTCAAGTTTTCCGGCATATCAACGATCGGGAAATTTTTGCAACAAAACCTCTCGCGCTGCGCGCTCGGCATGGCAAAACTTCTCCCTCTCGTTGCTATGCAACAAAAATATCGAAAAATTCTCGACACGTTTGGAGCACCGGAGCATTACGGCTGAAAATAAGAGGATAGAAGGGTCCCCTATAGAAAGATATTTTGCGATCCGGGGATTTTTTGGAGCCAAAAAAATGTTTTTTCCCATTTTTGGGGCGGCACACGCGGGGGAGGGGGTGGCCGTCATACACATAGATAAAAAGTGGATTAGCTTTAGAAACTATCGTTTCTAGATTTTAGAAACTCCTGTTCTTAAGTTTTATCCTTGATGGGATCATAAAAACTAACCAATTTGAGGATTATTTTTAAGAACTTATATTTTTTAAAACCAATGCTCAATTTTTCTCAATTATAGAAAATTTTGAAATTCGACTAGAAAATTCCGACCGAGGAAATTAAAGTGGGTAAGTGCCCCATACATAGGAAGGGGGGACCAATATCGGGAGTTTCAAATGTGAGGAGGGCGGATTTTGCAAAGGGGGGATGGGGGGGGGGATTAAGTATTCACAACCAAAAAAATGGAGTCGGTGAGTTTTTCAAAAATATCTCCAAAACTAAGGGAAATGGTGAATTTTGAGGAAAATTTCTCCCCCCAAAATTTTGTAAAAAATCCCTATCTCCCTTAGGGTTTCAGACCCCTGGCATTAGACCCCTCAGGGTTTCAGTGGCATTAGACGGGCCAAAAAATACAGAATCAACGTTCCCTCGGCGTAAAAAATCGATTTTGCCGAAAGTTGACTTTCCCCCCGAAAAAAGCCTAAATATGACACTTTGGCTCCGGGTGAAAAAAAAAAATTGTTTTATCTCTGCATTTCTGGGGTGTCCGAGGGTTTCATTAGCATCAGAAACGTTAATCGATATAAAAATTAAGGAATGTAATCGAAACTAACTTTCATTTTTGAGGCCTTGCAGAGGCTCGAATAAGCCTTGACGTACTGAGCCTCAATCTGCGTGCAATGTAGTGAAAATTATAATCGATTTTGTCATTTTCAACAAATAATATTAATATTCAAATGCAAACTTTCTGATATGAATAAAGAGAAGCTGTGACTCAATATTCGAAACTAAGTTTCAATTTTTAATTTTGTGTTGATTACACGAGCCGACAATGTTGAGTACGGAATTATATTGATGAGATGAACAACATTAATTGAATTACCATGTGAACTAATTGAAAATAGATAACAGTGTGGGTAAACACGTTTACCAGAGGATCAACAATCACTGAATTCCAGAAATTTGAAATTTTGAAATTTTCCAGAAAGGAATTGAATTGTAATTATGATTAAAATCTTATTCAGCCAGTGTAGGAATTAGGACATCAATCATTAGTTTTTGTAATATTTTCGTTGACATTTGAAAATGATCAAATAATTGATAATTTAAATTTCCAATTGACTATGAATTTGAAAAGAATTCACTATGAATTGATTCATGGATTTATTCTTTAAAAAGAGTTGACTATGAATTGAATAATTGAAAATATGAAATTGTAAATTGATTATGGAGCAGATATTTCTAAATTTCATAAAAGGGATTTTCAATTGGCCAAATAGTCGTCAATCCTCAGAGCTCGATTATTGATTGATACAATAATTCGGAATTTGGATATTTAATTGATGATCAATTTAATAATTTAAAATTGACGAGTACTATTAACAATTGGCTTCTTCAAAATTTATGATGCTGCTGATGTCTGATTGTATTATGAAAATTTAACAGCTGATGAATTAGAACATATGATTCTCATCGGTCGTATTGCCTTTTTGTAACGAGAATGATTCTAATCAATCAATTGAAAAAATGAACGTCGAATCTCCCAGAAAAAAACGGCATCAATATTGAATACATAAATACATGAATTTCATGCATTTATCATGAGAAAATCCTACAAAATTAGCGATCGAAGTTAACGTTCTGTTCCACTTGACTTTGCCTCTAGAAAAAAATTCAAATAACTCAGTTTTCCATCGGAAATCAATTACTTGGAACGATAATCGAGCAACAAGACCCCATCAGTCTCGTTACCAGCAAAATAAGTATCCAACCCTTTATCGCTTCAACTGTTATGACCGACAGGGCGATAAACTTTATCTTATCTAAATGGTCGATAACCGTCGACTGGGCACCTCTATAAACTGTTTCTGCACCAGGTAGACATACACAGGGCCCTCCCTTAGTTTCTGCAGTGAAACATACAACAAGCCCTCTTCCCCTCCCCCCGCAAGCTCAGGACCCAGTGGCTCGTCTCACTGATTAGGAAACTCCGATAAGATAAGCTGACACACGAGGCTAGGATGTACACATATTCACCCTACACATGGGTTTTGAACGATTCAGTGAACAAATAAAAATCATGAAAAATGGCACATTTTTTGGGAGCATTCGCTATCTGGTCTATCGCTGAAACCTCTCATTTCTTATGCTCGGGATTTTCAGGTGAAAAAACAAAATTTCACGTTTATGAGTTACACTGTTAAAAAAATTTAGCCGAATTTTCCGGAAAAAGACGTGGAATTCGATTTAAGGACAAAACGTCAATGGAATTTCAAGTTTCTCTGAAAATTCAAGTAAAGTATCATTTTTTTGCGATAGAAAAACGGAAATCCCACAATTTACTCTTTATCCCACTTAAAATGGATTCCATTTGGCATGCATTCGTTTCTTTTTCATCTGAACATCTCCTCTGAAGTTATAGTCCAACTAAATCTTCTTTTCCCTCAGAAACTCAATTTAAGGCCACAAGTTTCCATGGTTTCCATTGTCGAAATGTTGATTTCTCAATAAAACCAATTGAAATAAAAAATTGCAACGGGAAAAGAAATTTTAGTCTGACTACAGTGTTACTTTTGTTCTTATCCTTACTCTTCTCCTATTTTGACATTCTAACATATTCATTTTCTATCGTCCCGTTTATATTTAATAAACATTTTATTTTAATACCCATACGCGTTTCAGGGTCATGACGTCAACTCACCCGAATCAAGTTCCTCTTGCGACTACTAGCAGCGCTATTAAGTTATTCTAGCCGCTCAAAGTGCGAGACGTTCAACCAAAACGAATAAAGGGGGTTATGTTTGAAACAATTTAGTAGCGAAGCAGTAAACCGGATTAAGGATAATCGGGCGAGCTGGGAGGGTTGGAAAAAAAGCTG